GCGAGAAACCAAACGTTGATTCGTCGAATGTGACATCGCGAGATATCACCACTTCTTGAGGGTCATCGGTTTCTACCAGTATTGGTAACCGTGACCGGTCCAATCCGAACCGCCTGTTCAGCTTAGTATTTACGACGTAGTTCTTACGGTAATTACCATAGTTGATTAGACGCGTAGGATGATGAGACGCTTCACATGATTTATATGTACACCACATGTAAATCATGTAGTAAGTAGTAAGCCCCGATAATCAATCACTTTCCAATCTTCCATCTACCCCCCAAGTGTCTTCTCCGGTCTTCCGAGTGGACTCCCAGCATCACTCCCAGTTTCGGTCGTCAATCTTTTCACCTTACAACAGGTTATGAGCCCAAGCACGATGTCCTCTGCTCACGATGCCACCACCAAGATCTCCATCGACAAGTTCGACGGCGACAACTACGCGATGTGGAGCCGCTACATGCGTGGCGTGTTCCTGACCAAGTCGGCGTGGCACGTGGTGAACCGGGAGACCACCCCCACCTTCGCCGATCCTCGCGCCAGTGACGACTACATCAAGACGACCAACATTGCGTTCGGCTTGATGCTTCTGCACATGAGCGCGGATTATCATCACGTGGTTGATGACTGTGAAGAGGCGTGGGTCGCGTGGGCGCGTTTGAAGACGCTGTACGGCGGGTCGCAGAAGGCTGGACGCATCTACTTGAAGCGCCAGTTGTTCAGCATGGAGATGGCGGAAGGCGGCAATGTGATGCATCATTGCAACGAAGTCCTCAACATCAGCGCGAAGCTCAGCAGCATCGGCGCCAAGATGGAGAATGAGGACGTTGCGATCTGCTTACTGCGCAGTCTGCCCAAGATTTCGAGAACGGGGTTCTCAACTTGGAGATGAACAGCGCGGAACTGCGATCGCGAGACGTCGTGAGAGTGCTCACGAATGAGCACATCAAGAGGCAAGGTGACAAGACGACATCGGTGAAGACTGAAGACGCGGCCATGGCGTTCAGTACCGAGCGTGAACCCCACCAATGCACGTACTGCGGAAAATTGGGGCACACGGCGGAGCGGTGCTGGACCAAGCAGAAGGACGAAAATCAAGGTGGAGCTCGACGCGGCGGCAACAATGCTCGTGGACGCGGAGCCAACAATGTTCAGTGGCGAACCAACAGCAACTACGACGACAACTACGATCGAGTTGCGTTCGCGGTTTCGCTGGAGGCTGGACTTTCGACGGGCAAGAATATGCCAGGGATGTGGGCAGTCGACAGCGGTGCGACGCATCACATCTGCAACGACAAGGCCAAGTTTGCAAGTCTGAATGAGCGAGAGGAAGGCGAACTATCAGTGGCTGATGGCAGCAAGGCTGCGATCAAGGGTGTGGGAACCATCATGGAACGGGTGGTTCTGCCCAATGGTGACGAACGCGACATCGAGATCAAGGACGCACTGTTCGTACCAAGTATGAGCAAGAATCTGCTTTCGGTGCCACAGATCAACAAGGGTGGCAGGTTCCAAGTCGTGTTCGATGGATCCAAGATGCAAGTGAAGCGCAAGAATTCCACACAAGTCGTGGCAACAGCGGATCTCGTCGATGGACTTTACTGGCTGCGGACTCCTCAACGATCGGCAAATGCAGCAACACGCAATGGGACTATCGACTTGCATGCGCGCATGGGTCATGCACCCCTCGAAGTTCTGCGCAAGATGGTGGCCACTGGCATGATCAAGGACACCAAGGCACCTCTCAACTCGACTAGTCCAAGTGTGTGTCGCGGTTGCCAGCAAGGAAAGATGGTCCAAAAACCATTCCCAACCAACCGTGACAAACGCCAATATGGTGTGTTCGAGTTGCTGCACTTCGACATCTGCGGGCCAATGGAACAAGTCTCGATCGGCGGCAGCAAATACTTACTGCTTGTGGTTGACGAAGCTAGCGGTTGCATGAAGGGCTTCTGTCTGCGGTCCAAGTCTGAGAGTGAAGACTGTATCAAGAACCACATTATCAAGATTCAAACTCAGTTCGGCACGAAGATCAAGTTTGTTCGGCACGATGGAGCGCATGAGTTTGCGACCAACTCCATCAAGACCTTCTACGAAGATCATGGTATCGAACAACAGATCACGGTGCCGTATGCACACCAGACCAACGGCACCGCAGAACGCGCGATAAGGACCATCGTCACGATCGGACGCAGCTTGTTGCATCATGCAAAACTGGAGAAGTGTTTCTGGGCTGAAGCGGCAATGACGGCGATCTACATCAAGAACCGCCTGCCTTCACCCAAGATCGACCACAAGACTCCGTTCGAAATCGTGTACAAGTCGAAACCAAGTGTCAAGCACATGCGCATGTTTGGATGTCGGGCGTTTATCCTGACACCAAGGGAGAAGCGATTGAAGTGGGACCCGAAGGCTCGTGAAGGGATGTTCATGGGCTACGAAGAAGCGTCAAAAGCTTATCGAGTGTACGACATTGAGGCGGACCAAGTGGTGATCAGTCGTGACATCACCTTCGACGAATCGACTTTTGATTTTTCTATAGACCGACCAAGTGACGATGATGAAGATGCGGAGTTGGACCTCGACCTCCTAGCGATCAACGAGGACGACGTGCGTCAAACCGTCTACAAGCAGACTGGCAAGCGCAAGAGTGAAGCAAGACCCGGCATGTCACGTTCAGCTCGCCCCCGAACTGGGTTGGAACAAGCAAGTGCGCCGGCACACGTCTCCAACCGTCACCAGAAACGACGATCAAGTGCTCCAGAAACGATGTCTGATGACGAAGAAGATGCAAGCGTCTACGATCAAGATGACGACTCGACGCCTCCAACAAATTGGCGTGCAAGTGCAAACGCAGTGGAAGCAACGGACCTAGCAGAACCTGTGACTTTTCAAGACGCGATCAATGGTCCTGATCAAGCTCACTGGCGAAATGCTGTGAAGGCGGAACTCAAGTCGATGCATCTTCGTGGAGTTTTCCGTGCGGCAAAACTACCAAGAGGCCAAGGCGCGATCGGCACCAAGTGGGTGTTCAAGATCAAGCGCAAAGCGGATGGATCGGTCGAGAAATACAAGGCGCGTCTCGTTGCCAAGGGCTTCAAGCAGAAGTACGGCATCGACTACACAGAGACGTTCTCGCCCGTGGTCAAGTACGTGACACTGCGTATGGTGATCGCGATCACCAAGTATTTCGACTGGCCACTGGACCAACTCGATGTGGTGACAGCCTTTCTCTACGGAGTGATGAAGGAGAAGGTGTACTGCGTGATACCAGAAGGCGTCGAGATGGATGGCGACTTCGACTGTCTCGAGTTGGTGAAGGCGATCTACGGTCTCAAGCAAGCTTCACGTGTGTGGAACGAGAATTTCGACGAGTTTGTATGCTCTATCGGTTTCGAAGCGTCGGCGTTCGACCCATGTCTCTACATCAAGGTTGTCGACGGTCACTGTGTGCTCGTGCTGGTCTACGTGGATGACGTGTTGGTCACCGGCAGCTCGCTCGAGTTGATTGCGCAGACGAAGGCCGACCTCAAGACGCGTTTCGAGATGACCGACAGTGGCAAGTGTACTTTTGTACTGGGCATCGAACTGGTGGACGAATCGGATGGCATCGTGACGATGTGCCAGCGACGGTATGTCAACGACATCCTCAAGCGCTTCGGCATGGATGAGTGCAAGGCCACAGCAAGTCCGGTCGACTTGAGCACTCGGCTTGTCGCAAACACCGAAGCGGCCAAGATCGACGTTCCGTTTCGTGAAGCTGTGGGAGCTTTGATGCACTTGACGACTGCGACGCGCCCGGACATTGCGTATGCTGTGGGGTACGTCTCGCGCTTCATGGAGAATCCGCAGCAAGAACATTGGACGGCGGTGAAGCTCATCTTTCGTTACTTGCAAGGGACCAAGTCGCACGGACTCCGCTTCCAGCCAAGCGACAAGATCGACTTTCGCGGATATTCTGATGCGAACTGGGCCGGCGACCATGCTGATCGCAAGTCAACTTCGGGTTACATTTTCATGCTGATGGGTGCTCCTGTGAGTTGAGGAAGCAAGAAGCAGTCAAGCGTGTCACTGTCGACAAGTGAAGCGGAATACATCGCACTAAGTCTGGCCATACAGGAAGGCAAGTGGGTGCATCTCCTGCTATGCGAGATTTTGGCGGCCGCAAACGAACCAGGACCGGACCTCGTCATCCGTGAAGACAACCAGTCGTGTATCAAGATGACGAAGAATCCGGTGAACCATGGTCGAGCCAAGCATATCGACATCAAGTACCATCACATCCGTGATGAGGTCGAGCGCGGTGAAGTGCAGCTCGAGTATTGCGAGACTTCCGTGATGATGGCGGACATCATGACCAAGGGACTTTCGGGACCTCGTCACAAGGACTTGACGACGGCTCTCGGCATTCGTGCGAGTTCGGATTGAGGGGGCGTGTTGACGGTCATCGGTTTCTACCAGTATTGGTAACCGTGACCGGTCCAATCCGAACCGCCTGTTCAGCTTAGTATTTACGACGTAGTTCTTACGGTAATGACCATAGTTGATTAGACGCGTAGGATGATGAGACGCTTCACATGATTTATATGTGCACCACATATAAATCATGTAGTAAGTAGTAAGCCCCGATAATCAATCACTTTCCAATCTTCCATCTACCCCCAAGTGTCTTCTCCGGTCTTCCGAGTGGACTCCCAGCATCACTCCCAGTTTCGGTCGTCAAGCTTTTCACCTTACAACACCACTTGATCCGCATCAATGTCGTAAACGCGATATGCCTTTGACACTTCTTCGTACCCCATGAATCGTCCTTCACGAGCCTTTGGATCCCATTTCGATCTCTTTTCCTTAGGGGTCAGCACAAACGTTCGGCAGCCGAAAACCCGCATGTGCTTCACACTTGGTCGAAATCCGTTGACAATCTCGAACGGGGTTTGATCTTGGCACTTGGGCGATGGTAGGCGATTCTTGATGTAGATCGCCGTCATTGCTGCTTCAACTCAAAAAAACTTGTCCAGCTTGGCGTAGTGAAGCATGCTGCGCCCGATCGTCACAATGGTCCGAATTGCCCGTTCCGCCGTGCCGTTGGTCTGATGCGCATATGGAACGGTAACTTGCTGCTCGATTCGTTGATCATCGTAAAATGCCTTGAGCGAATTTGCCACAGATTCGCGTGCACCATCGTGGCGAACGAACTTGACCTTGTAGTCAAACTGCGTCTGTACTGCCACGATGTACTTCTTGATGCACTCTTCGCTGTCGGAATTGGCGCGCAGACTGAAACCCTTCATACATCCGCTGCCTTCATCTACGGTCAGTAGCAAGTACTTGCTTCCACCTAGCGAGTCGACTTCCATTGGACCACAAGTGTCGATGTGCTTGGCCCGACCATGGTTCACAGGATTCTTCGTCATCTTGATGCACGATTGGTTGTCTTCCATGATCTTGAGCTCGGGTCCAGACTTGTCCTCTGCGGCATCCAGAATCTCGCATAGCAATCGATGCACCCACTTGCCTTCTTGAATAGCCAGACTTAATGCTTAATGCACTCAGCTTCACTTGTTGACAGCGACACACTTGACTGCTTTTGCTTCCCCAGCTCCCACCCCGGATCACCCATCAGGATGAGCGCATATCCCGAAGTCGACTTGCGGTCTGCATGGTCGCCGGCCCAGTCTGCATCCGAGTAGCCGCAGAAGTCTATCTTGTCATCAGACTTGAAACAGATGCCGTCCGACTTAGTCCCTTGTAAGTATCGCAAAATGCGCTTGACCGCCATCCAGTGCTCGACTTGGAGGTTTTCCATGAAGCGCGAAACGTAACTCACAGCAAAGGCAATGTCCGGTCGTGTCGCGGTCATCAAGTGCATTAAAGCGCCTACTGCTTCACAAAACGGGGCGTCAATTTTGGTTACTGCACTGCTTGGTATGAGTCAAGAACTGATGTCTGTTGGGCTGGTGACGGCTTTGCAGTCGCTCATGCCAAAACGCTTGAGAACATCTTCCACGTAGCGTCGCTGGCACATCGTCACGCTACCGTTGTCGTTGTACACCAGCTCGATGCCCAACACGAATGCGCACTTGCCGCTGTCAGTCATTTCGAAACGCGCCTTCAAGCCACTCTTGGTGCGCATAATCAGTTCGGTCGAGCTGCCAGTCACCAACACATCATCGACGTATACCAGCAAAAGCACGCACTCGCCACTTGTAATCTTGAGATAAAGACACGGGTCAAAATGAGATACTTGAAATCCAATGGAGCAGACGAACTCATAGAAATTTCCTTCCATACGCGCGATGCTTGTTTTAGTCCGTAGATCGCCTTCAACAATTCGAAGCAGTCAAAGTCTTCATCAACTTCGACCCCTTCTGGGATCGCGCAGAATACCTTTTCCTTCATCTCTCCGCATAGCAAAGCTGTCACCACGTCCAGTAGGTCCAGTGTCCAGTCAAAGTACTTCGTGATTGCAACTACCATGCGCAGCGTCACGTACTTGACTACCGGCAAAAACGTCTCCGTGTAGTCGATGCCATATTTCTGCTTGAACCCTTTTGCCACGAGACGCGCCTTGTATTTCTCGATGGATCCATCAGCTTTCCGCTTGATATTGAATACCCACTTGGTGCCAATGGTATGCTGTCCAGCTGGCTGTTTGGGCGCTCGAAGCACGCCACGAAGTTTCATCGAGTCCAACTCAGCACAGATAGCTTTACGCCAATGCACTTGATCCGGTCCATCAACAGCATCTTTAAACGTTGTCGGCTCAGACAAGTCAGTACCTTCGACTGCGTTGACACTCGCTCGCCAAAAGACTTGAGGTGTAGCATCCTCGTTATCTTCGTCACTGCCCTTTTGCTCTTCGTCCAGATTGTCTCGAGCGCTTGACCGTCGCTTCGCTTGGTGCGTTTCAAATTCATCCGGTGCACTTGCTTCTTCGAACCCGGTTCCACGACGCTCAGGAAGTGTCCGTTGTAGAGCTTGTTCTTGGCTGTTTGAACGGCTTTTGCGTTTTCCAATTTGCTTGAACTCCATAGGGTGAGGCTCATCGCTAATGTTCATCGATTCGATATCCAGCGCAGTGTCATCAACAATTTCTTGTGGTAGCGTCGGCGAGAAACCAAACGTTGATTCGTCGAATGTGACATCGCGAGATATCACCACTTCTTGAGGGTCATCGGTTTCTACCAGTATTGGTAACCGTGACCGGTCCAATCCCGAACCGCCTGTTCAGCTTAGTATTTACGACGTAGTTCTTACGGTAATTACCATAGTTGATTAGACGCGTAGGATGATGAGACGCTTCACATGATTTATATGTACACCACATGTAAATCATGTAGTAAGTAGTAAGCCCCGATAATCAATCACTTTCCAATCTTCCATCTACCCCCCAAGTGTCTTCTCCGGTCTTCCGAGTGGACTCCCAGCATCACTCCCAGTTTCGGTCGTCAATCTTTTCACCTTACAACAGGTTATGAGCCCAAGCACGATGTCCTCTGCTCACGATGCCACCACCAAGATCTCCATTGACAAGTTCGACGGCGACAACTACGCGATGTGGAGCCGCTACATGCGTGGCGTGTTCCTGACCAAGTCGGCGTGGCACGTGGTGAACCGGGAGACCACCCCCACCTTCGCCGATCCTCGCGCCAGTGACGACTACGTCAAGACGAACAACATTGCGTTCGGCTTGATGCTTCTGCACATGAGCGCGGATTATCATCACGTGGTTGATGACTGTGAAGAGGCGTGGGTCGCGTGGGCGCGTTTGAAGACGCTGTACGGCGGGTCGCAGAAGGCTGGACGCATCTACTTGAAGCGCCAGTTGTTCAGCATGGAGATGGCGGAAGGCGGCAATGTGATGCATCATTGCAACGAAGTCCTCAACATCAGCGCGAAGCTCAGCAGCATCGGCGCCAAGATGGAGGACGAGGACGTTGCGATCTGCTTACTGCGCAGTCTGCCCAAGATTTCGAGAACGGGGTTCTCAACTTGGAGATGAACAGCGCGGAACTGCGATCGCGAGACGTCGTGAGAGTGCTCACGAATGAGCACATCAAGAGGCAAGGTGACAAGACGACATCGGTGAAGACTGAAGACGCGGCCATGGCGTTCAGTACCGAGCGTGAACCCCACCAATGCACGTACTGCGGAAAATTGGGGCACACGGCGGAGCGGTGCTGGACCAAGCAGAAGGACGAAAATCAAGGTGGAGCTCGACGCGGCGGCAACAATGCTCGTGGACGCGGAGCCAACAATGTTCAGTGGCGAACCAACAGCAACTACGACGACAACTACGATCGAGTTGCGTTCGCGGTTTCGCTGGAGGCTGGACTTTCGACGGGCAAGAATATGCCAGGGATGTGGGCAGTCGACAGCGGTGCGACGCATCACATCTGCAACGACAAGGCCAAGTTTGCAAGTCTGAATGAGCGAGAGGAAGGCGAACTATCAGTGGCTGATGGCAGCAAGGCTGCGATCAAGGGTGTGGGAACCATCATGGAACGGGTGGTTCTGCCCAATGGTGACGAACGCGACATCGAGATCAAGGACGCACTGTTCGTACCAAGTATGAGCAAGAATCTGCTTTCGGTGCCACAGATCAACAAGGGTGGCAGGTTCCAAGTCGTGTTCGATGGATCCAAGATGCAAGTGAAGCGCAAGAATTCCACACAAGTCGTGGCAACAGCGGATCTCGTCGATGGACTTTACTGGCTGCGGACTCCTCAACGATCGGCAAATGCAGCAACACGCAATGGGACTATCGACTTGCATGCGCGCATGGGTCATGCACCCCTCGAAGTTCTGCGCAAGATGGTGGCCACTGGCATGATCAAGGACACCAAGGCACCTCTCAACTCGACTAGTCCAAGTGTGTGTCGCGGTTGCCAGCAAGGAAAGATGGTCCAAAAACCATTCCCAACCAACCGTGACAAACGCCAATATGGTGTGTTCGAGTTGCTGCACTTCGACATCTGCGGGCCAATGGAACAAGTCTCGATCGGCGGCAGCAAATACTTACTGCTTGTGGTTGACGAAGCTAGCGGTTGCATGAAGGGCTTCTGTCTGCGGTCCAAGTCTGAGAGTGAAGACTGTATCAAGAACCACATTATCAAGATTCAAACTCAGTTCGGCACGAAGATCAAGTTTGTTCGGCACGATGGAGCGCATGAGTTTGCGACCAACTCCATCAAGACCTTCTACGAAGATCATGGTATCGAACAACAGATCACGGTGCCGTATGCACACCAGACCAACGGCACCGCAGAACGCGCGATAAGGACCATCGTCACGATCGGACGCAGCTTGTTGCATCATGCAAAACTGGAGAAGTGTTTCTGGGCTGAAGCGGCAATGACGGCGATCTACATCAAGAACCGCCTGCCTTCACCCAAGATCGACCACAAGACTCCGTTCGAAATCGTGTACAAGTCGAAACCAAGTGTCAAGCACATGCGCATGTTTGGATGTCGGGCGTTTATCCTGACACCAAGGGAGAAGCGATTGAAGTGGGACCCGAAGGCTCGTGAAGGGATGTTCATGGGCTACGAAGAAGCGTCAAAAGCTTATCGAGTGTACGACATTGAGGCGGACCAAGTGGTGATCAGTCGTGACATCACCTTCGACGAATCGACTTTTGATTTTTCTATAGACCGACCAAGTGACGATGATGAAGATGCGGAGTTGGACCTCGACCTCCTAGCGATCAACGAGGACGACGTGCGTCAAACCGTCTACAAGCAGACTGGCAAGCGCAAGAGTGAAGCAAGACCCGGCATGTCACGTTCAGCTCGCCCCCCGAACTGGGTTGGAACAAGCAAGTGCGCCGGCACACGTCTCCAACCGTCACCAGAAACGACGATCAAGTGCTCCAGAAACGATGTCTGATGACGAAGAAGATGCAAGCGTCTACGATCAAGATGACGACTCGACGCCTCCAACAAATTGGCGTGCAAGTGCAAACGCAGTGGAAGCAACGGACCTAGCAGAACCTGTGACTTTTCAAGACGCGATCAATGGTCCTGATCAAGCTCACTGGCGAAATGCTGTGAAGGCGGAACTCAAGTCGATGCATCTTCGTGGAGTTTTCCGTGCGGCAAAACTACCAAGAGGCCAAGGCGCGATCGGCACCAAGTGGGTGTTCAAGATCAAGCGCAAAGCGGATGGATCGGTCGAGAAATACAAGGCGCGTCTCGTTGCCAAGGGCTTCAAGCAGAAGTACGGCATCGACTACACAGAGACGTTCTCGCCCGTGGTCAAGTACGTGACACTGCGTATGGTGATCGCGATCACCAAGTATTTCGACTGGCCACTGGACCAACTCGATGTGGTGACAGCCTTTCTCTACGGAGTGATGAAGGAGAAGGTGTACTGCGTGATACCAGAAGGCGTCGAGATGGATGGCGACTTCGACTGTCTCGAGTTGGTGAAGGCGATCTACGGTCTCAAGCAAGCTTCACGTGTGTGGAACGAGACTTTCGACGAGTTTGTATGCTCTATCGGTTTCGAAGCGTCGGCGTTCGACCCATGTCTCTACATCAAGGTTGTCGACGGTCACTGTGTGTTCGTGCTGGTCTACGTGGATGACGTGTTGGTCACCGGCAGCTCGCTCGAGTTGATTGCGCAGACGAAGGCCGACCTCAAGACGCGTTTCGAGATGACCGACAGTGGCAAGTGTACTTTTGTACTGGGCATCGAACTGGTGGACGAATCGGATGGCATCGTGACGATGTGCCAGCGACGGTATGTCAACGACATCCTCAAGCGCTTCGGCATGGATGAGTGCAAGGCCACAGCAAGTCCGGTCGACTTGAGCACTCGGCTTGTCGCAAACACCGAAGCGGCCAAGATCGACGTTCCGTTTCGTGAAGCTGTGGGAGCTTTGATGCACTTGACGACTGCGACGCGCCCGGACATTGCGTATGCTGTGGGGGTACGTCTCGCGCTTCATGGAGAATCCGCAGCAAGAACATTGGACGGCGGTGAAGCGCATCTTTCGTTACTTGCAAGGGACCAAGTCGCACGGACTCCGCTTCCAGCCAAGCGACAAGATCGACTTTCGCGGATATTCTGATGCGAACTGGGCCGGCGACCATGCTGATCGCAAGTCAACTTCGGGTTACACTTTCATGCTGATGGGTGCTCCTGTGAGTTGGGGAAGCAAGAAGCAGTCAAGCGTGTCACTGTCGACAAGTGAAGCGGAATACATCGCGCTAAGTCTGGCCATACAGGAAGGCAAGTGGGTGCATCTCCTGCTATGCGAGATTTTGGCGGCCGCAAACGAACCAGGACCGGACCTCGTCATCCGTGAAGACAACCAGTCGTGTATCAAGATGACGAAGAATCCGGTGAACCATGGTCGATCCAAGCATATCGACAACAAGAACCATCACATCCGTGATGAGGTCAGGCGCGGCGAAGTGCAGCTCGAGTATTGCGAGACTTCCGTGATGATGGCGGACATCATGACCAAGGGACTTTCGGGACCTCGTCACAAGGACTTGACGACGGCTCTCGGCATTCGTGCGAGTTCGGATTGAGGGGGCGTGTTGACGGTCATCGGTTTCTACCAGTATTGGTAACCGTGACCGGTCCAATCCGAACCGCCTGTTCAGCTTAGTATTTACGACGTAGTTCTTACGGTAATTACCATAGTTGATTAGACGCGTAGGATGATGAGACGCTTCACATGATTTATATGTGCACCACATATAAATCATGTAGTAAGTAGTAAGTCCCGATAATCAATCACTTTCCAATCTTCCATCTACCCCCCAAGTGTCTTCTCCGGTCTTCCGAGTGGACTCCCAGCATCACTCCCAGTTTCGGTCGTCAAGCTTTTCACCTTACAACACCACTTGATCCGCATCAATGTCGTAAACGCGATATGCCTTTGACACTTCTTCGTACCCCATGAATCGTCCTTCACGAGCCTTTGGATCCCATTTCGATCTCTTTTCCTTAGGGGTCAGCACAAACGTTCGGCAGCCGAAAACCCGCATGTGCTTCACACTTGGTCGAAATCCGTTGACGATCTCGAACGGGGGTTTGATCTTGGCACTTGGGCGATGGTAGGCGATTCTTGATGTAGATCGCCGTCATTGCTGCTTCAACTCAAAAAAACTTGTCCAGCTTGGCGTAGTGAAGCATGCTGCGCCCGATCGTCACAATGGTCCGAATTGCCCGTTCCGCCATGCCGTTGGTCTGATACGCATATGGAACGGTAACTTGCTGCTCGATTCGTTGATCATCGTAAAATGCCTTGAGCGAATTTGCCACAGATTCGCGTGCACCATCGTGGCGAACGAACTTGACCTTGTAGTCAAACTGCGTCTGCACTGCCACGATGTACTTCTTGATGCACTCTTCGCTGTCGGAATTGGCGCGCAGACTGAAACCCTTCATACATCCGCTGCCTTCATCTGCGGTCAGTAGCAAGTACTTGCTTCCACCTAGCGAGTCGACTTCCATTGGACCACAAGTGTCGATGTGCTTGGCCCGACCATGGTTCACAGGATTCTTCGTCATCTTGATGCACGATTGGTTGTCTTCCATGATCTTGAGCTCGGGTCCAGACTTGTCCTCTGCGGCATCCAGAATCTCGCATAGCAATCGATGCACCCACTTGCCTTCTTGAATAGCCAGACTTAATGCAATGCACTCAGCTTCACTTGTTGACAGCGACACACTTGACTGCTTTTTGCTTCCCCAGCTCACCGGATCACCCATCAGGATGAGCGCATATCCCGAAGTCGACTTGCGGTCTGCATGGTCGCCGGCCCAGTCTGCATCCGAGTAGCCGCAGAAGTCTATCTTGTCATCAGACTTGAAACAGATGCCGTCCGACTTAGTCCCTTGTAAGTATCGCAAAATGCGCTTGAACGCCATCCAGTGCTCGACTTGGAGGTTTTCCATGAAGCGCGAAACGTAACTCACAGCAAAGGCAATGTCCGGTCGTGTCGCGGTCATCAAGTGCATTAAAGCGCCTACTGCTTCACAAAACGGGGCGTCAATTTTGGTTACTGCACTGCTTGGTATGAGTCAAGAACTGATGTCTGTTGGGCTGGTGACGGCTTTGCAGTCGCTCATGCCAAAACGCTTGAGAACATCTTCCACGTAGCGTCACTGGCACATCGTCACGCTACCGTTGTCGTTGTACACCAGCTCGATGCCCAACACGAATGCGCACTTGCCGCTGTCAGTCATTTCGAAACGCGCCTTCAAGCCACTCTTGGTGCGCATAATCAGTTCGGTCGAGCTGCCAGTCACCAACACATCATCGACGTATACCAGCAAAAGCACGCACTCGCCACTTGTAATCTTGAGATAAAGACACGGGTCAAAATGAGATACTTGAAATCCAATGGAGCAGACGAACTCATAGAAATTTCCTTCCATACGCGTGATGCTTGTTTTAGTCCGTAGATCGCCTTCAACAATTCGAAGCAGTCAAAGTCTTCATCAACTTCGACCCCTTCTGGGATCGCGCAGAATACCTTTTCCTTCATCTCTCCGCATAGCAAAGCTGTCACCACGTCCAGTAGGTCCAGTGTCCAGTCAAAGTACTTCGTGATTGCAACTACCATGCGCAGCGTCACGTACTTGACTACCGGCCAAAACGTCTCCGTGTAGTCGATGCCATATTTCTGCTTGAACCCTTTTGCCACGAGACGCGCCTTGTATTTCTCGATGGATCCATCAGCTTTTCGCTTGATCTTGAATACCCACTTGGTTCCAATGGTATGCTGTCCAGCTGGCTGTTTGGGCGCTCGAAGCACGCCACGAAGTTTCATCGAGTCCAACTCAGCACAGATTGCTTCACACCAATGCACTTGATCCGGTCCATCAACAGCATCTTTAAACGTTGTCGGCTCAGACAAGTCAGTACCTTCGACTGCGTTGACACTCGCTCGCCAAAAGACTTGAGGTGTAGCATCCTCGTTATCTTCGTCACTGCCCTTTTGCTCTTCGTCCAGATTTGCTCGAGCGCTTGACCGTCGCTTCGCTTGGTGCGTTTCAAAGTCATCCGGTGCACTTGCTTCTTCGAACCCGGTTCCACGACGCTCAGGAAGTGTCCGTTGTAGAGCTTGTTCTTGGCTGTTTGAACGGCTTTTGCGTTTTCCAATTTGCTTGAACTCCATAGGGTGAGGCTCATCGCTAATGTTCATCGATTCGATATCCAGCGCAGTGTCATCAACAATTTCTTGTGGTAGCGTCGGCGAGAAACCAAACGTTGATTCGTCGAATGTGACATCGCGAGATATCACCACTTGATCCGCTTCAATGTCGTAAACGCGATATGCCTTTGACACTTCTTCGTACCCCATGAATCGTCCTTCACGAGCCTTTGGATCCCATTTCGATCTCTTTTCCTTAGGGGTCAGCACAAACGTTCGGCAGCCGAAAACCCGCATGTGCTTCACACTTGGTCGAAATCCGTTGACGATCTCGAACGGGGTTTGATCTTGGCACTTGGGCGATGGTAGGCGATTCTTGATGTAGATCGCCGTCATTGCTGCTTCAACTCAAAAAAACTTGTCCAGCTCGGCGTAGTGAAGCATGCTGCGCCCGATCGTCACAATGGTCCGAATTGCCCGTTCCGCCGTGCCGTTGGTCTGATGCGCATATGGAACGGTAACTTGCTGCTCGATTCGTTGATCATCGTAAAATGCCTTGAGCGAATTTGCCACAGATTCGCGTGCACCATCGTGGCGAACGAACTTGACCTTGTAGTCAAACTGCGTCTGTACTGCCACGATGTACTTCTTGATGCACTCTTCGCTGTCGGAATTGGCGCGCAGACTGAAACCCTTCATACATCCGCTGCCTTCATCTACGGTCAGTAGCAAGTACTTGCTTCCACCTAGCGAGTCGACTTCCATTGGACCACAAGTGTCGATGTGCTTGGCCCGACCATGGTTCACAGGATTCTTCGTCATCTTGATGCACGATTGGTTGTCTTCCATGATCTTGAGCTCGGGTCCAGACTTGTCCTCTGCGGCATCCAGAATCTCGCATGGCAATCGATGCACCCACTTGCCTTCTTGAATAGCCAGACTTAATGCAATGCACTCAGCTTCACTTGTTGACAGCGACACACTTGACTGCTTTTTGCTTCCCCAGCTCACCGGATCACCCATCAGGATGAGCGCATATCCCGAACTCGACTTGCGTTCTGCATGGTCGCCGGCCCAGTCTGCATCCGAGTAGCCGCAGAAGTCTATCTTGTCATCAGACTTGAAACAGATGCCGTCCGACTTAGTCCCTTGTAAGTATCGCAAAATGCGCTTGACCGCCATCCAGTGCTCGACTTGGAGGTTTTCCATGAAGCGCGAAACGTAACTCACAGCAAAGGCAATGTCCGGTCGTGTCGCGGTCATCAAGTGCATTAAAGCGCCTACTGCTTCACAAAACGGGGCGTCAATTTTGGTTACTGCACTGCTTGGTATGAGTCAAGAACTGATGTCTGTTGGGCTGGTGACGGCTTTGCAGTCGCTCATGCCAAAACGCTTGAGAACATCTTCCACGTAGCGTCGCTGGCACATCGTCACGCTACCGTTGTCGTTGTCCACCAGCTCGATGCCCAACACGAATGCGCACTTGCCGCTGTCAGTCATTTCGAAAAGCGCCTTCAAGCCACTCTTGGTGCGCATAATCAGTTCGGTCGAGCTGCCAGTCACCAACACATCATCGACGTATACCAGCAAAAGCACGCACTCGCCACTTGTAATCTTGAGATAAAGACACGGGTCAAAATGAGATACTTGAAATCCAATGGAGCAGACGAACTCATAGAAATTCTCCTTCCATACGCGCGATGCTTGTTTTAGTCCGTAGATCGCCTTCAACAATTCGAAGCAGTCAAAGTCTTCATCAACTTCGACCCCTTCTGGGATCGCGCAGAATACCTTTTCCTTCATCTCTTCGCATAGCAAAGCTGTCACCACGTCCAGTAGGTCCAGTGTCCAGTCAAAGTACTTCGTGATTGCAACTACCATGCGCAGCGTCACGTACTTGACTACCGGCAAAAACGTCTCCGTGTAGTCGATGCCATATTTCTGCTTGAACCCTTTTGCCACGAGACGCGCCTTGTATTTCTCGATGGATCCATCAGCTTTCCGCTTGATATTGAATACCCACTTGGTGCCAATGGTATGCTGTCCAGCTGGCTGTTTGGGCGCTCGAAGCACGCCACGAAGTTTCATCGAGTCCAACTCAGCACAGATTGCTTCACACCAATGCACTTGATCCGGTCCATCAACAGCATCTTTAAACGTTGTCGGCTCAGACAAGTCAGTACCTTCGACTGCGTTGACACTCGCTCGCCAAAAGACTTGAGGTGTAGCATCCTCGTTATCTTCGTCACTGCCCTTTTGCTCTTCGTCCAGATTTGCTCGAGCGCTTGACCGTCGCTTCGCTTGGTGCGTTTCAAAGTCATCCGGTGCACTTGCTTCTTCGAACCCGGTTCCACGGCGCTCAGGAAGTGTCCGTTGTAGAGCTTGTTCTTGGCTGTTTGAACGGCTTTTGCGTTTTCCAATTT